CATCGGTGGTCCCATGGGAGCTCGGCGGATGAGGGGGGAGATAGGGGAGGGGGGATTATAGGGGGGAGAGGACAGAGGGGGGTGGGCTGTCTAAAATACCCCAGTAGGTAGTATGCTGGATACCTAGTAGATACCTATATAGATAGCTAATAAATAGTATGTAGAATATATATTTTGCATAAGACAATAAACATCTTGACACACAGACGTAATCCTCCATAGTATTTTATTTTGTCATATTTTAATTCCCAAGGGAATAAGATACACAATGTTTAATGTTAAGTCTGGTTCACAGAAAGACAATCAGAGACATAAGCATAACATAATAAAAAAAAAACAAAGGGAAAAATATTCATTATGCTTATGTCTTTGTGTGAACCAGACTTTGTTTACACRAGTGGTCAGGTATAAAACAGTTAAGGGAAAGTCTCCATGTAATTTCCTTTGTACTCATTTATAATATTGGGTTCCCTGCGCTGCTTTAAGTGAAGGAACCAAGAGTCTCCCCTTGACTGTTTTGTGACTGACCACTCTTATGATACTAGTACTTGACTATGAAGTTTTGATTGACAAGTCTTAATTTATTAGTTTACTTGACGTTACATCATTTTATTTACAAGAGTATGAGATAATATCGCAAGCACTAGTCGAATTGTAACGTAAATTGATATATCAAGACTTGTCATCCCAGTGACTTCTAGTCAAGTTTATATATGATCCAAATGTGAATATACTCAAAGGCCCAGAGGTATCTGAGAATGTTGCATATTAAAATAGAAGAGGCTCTCAGATGCACTTGGGCCATTACATTAATGTTTTTTTTTGCCAGACTGTGAAATAGTGAAGCTTATATAGGCACATGTTTTTGAAAGCCCATTCCGTTATCGAATAATATCAGCATCAATTAAATATGGAGTGAATGTTTTGAACTCAGGTTTAGCAATGGAGGCATTGTGTTACAAGCCACATGTAAGATGTTTCAGGTAGTCTATTATAGTTGCATGTTCCATCGTAGACTTAGCGACTCACATTTAAATGGATATGTACGAAATCTGCTTAGTTGCAGCAAGAGGAATTCCATGAAAAATCTTGAAATATTTGTCAACTAGGACAGTTTTTCTCAACAGTTTCACACATGCAGACAATAATACACCACCCGATCACTTCTCTACTTCACAGTCTGGTGATAAACACTTGTGAAAGAACAGCCTGGTTTTCACTTGGGTACAGGCAAAACACAGGATACACAGCATTACCCCATGAACACTAACATTAGAGTAACTTTCATAAAACTGTGAGAATATATTAAAATTTTGTTATCAGGAAAAACAAAACAATGAAAGTTATCTAAAAATGAAAGATATAAAAATAGTGTGCTTAATGTTCTACACAAATTTACAAAAACAACTCTAATGCAGCAAATGTAATGCAGGCTAGTATARAATGGAAAATTGTGATTTAAGTCATGCATAAGACATGACATCAGGATAGCATAATGTCAAGCATAGGCAAATAATCACAAAATTAAAAGGTAAAAAAAGAGGAAACAGAAAATTCTAACGATCACAAGGATGCTTTGCTCATTACATGTTTTTGCCTATGCTTACATCAACAGAGTCAGATACAACAAAAACACAAATGACAAACATCACAAGAGGGGAGGGACGCATAGTGAGGTGGGTACCAAGATCTGATTGTCTTGGTAGGAAAAAGATGGGAATAGATTTTTTATTGTTTTGGAGGAAAACATCTGCAGTGTGGAATCCAACAAGTTGGCTTGCTCCCTGGCAATTGCAAACTTGACCTGCAAATAATAATATCAGCAATAAGAGTATTAGTAATAAAAAACATTCTGATTAATGGTAGAAATTGAGATTATCAAACTGATACAAATCTTTTGCATAAAAAAAACAATATTTGATCAAGTGCTATGCCGAGTAAAAACATTTTAAAACAATTGGTAATCATATGTTAATGCCTAGAAGGCAATCCAGGGTTTTATGTTTGCTGGTGTTGTTGTATTTTATTTTTCAGTTGTTGTTGCATGTGAAAGGAATTCAGCTGTCGTATGGCCATTATTGAGAACAAGGTACAAGTAGGTTAAGTAGAAGACTGCTCCTGATGATTGATGATGCCTAAAACATCATGAACAACAAAATTAAGTTTAATCAGATTGTTCGAGTATGAAACTGACTGTACCAATATTAATATCTATAAAAACAGTTGTAAATAAAATRACAGTCAGTTTCACAACTCTGATACAAATGCAACTTGACTATGAATGAAGATTGCAAAAAAGAGGATAGAAATTTCGCGCTTTACCCCACCATAAAACAATCAATTATTACGTGTTGCTCTTCGAGCAACAATATTGCTTGGCATTCAAAACTTTAACGAAACAAAATCAGGGAGTAATTTCAAGCTTTAGTTTGATTGAGTTCTCACCTTTGACAACAGGCCCAGTAGACAGCAGCCATGTTGATATACAAGCCAGATAGAAGCTCAAGAAATAGTTTAGATAAACATTCTCAGAACATTATATCATAGAAAATGATTAAATAGTGATTCACTAGGCTACTATATCAATAAGCAAAGTGCAATGAGTGATATATTGCAGTACAGAACCTGGAGGGCTTTCCGAGGTCAGAAATCGACAAACAACATCAATATGAAATGTACAACTATAAACATTGCACTGAAATAGACATGGTAGCATATTTTATAAAATTAATGTATTATTTTGTCAATAAAATACCTTTTAAACAGTGTAATTTCTCGTATTTCTTTGTGTTTGTTATGAGTTTTATATTCGACGAGGTCCGGTGATGGCGGCCATGTGCTGGTATACTCGGTTAGGCCTGGGCAAGCAAGGAACGCCTAGAAGAAGATGTAGCAAAAAAAAAAAGAAGAAGAAAAGAAAAATAAATTCCAACTTCAGACTACGTCTAATGCCATTTAATAAAGGTTATTAATTAAAAACGTTACGCTGATATGACGAAACATTTGGAATGAGACTTGGTRTGATGTGGGAATCATGAACGTGAAAAACAAACAAACAAACAAAACGAAACGCGGAACTCATACGTAATTTATATATTGAACAAGAAGAAAGGTGCTGAAACTTGAAAATGGATCCCTTGGAAAGTCAGGTAGGTGAATGYTATTTTATAAATGCTATGACTGTAAGACTGAGTTGAATGCATGAAATATGAACAGATGGAAGAAGGAATGGAAGAATGACAAAATGAATAAATAGCAGGAATAAATCAAGCAGTATATAATCAACTGAAAAAAATGGGTAAATCTTAGTAAATGGAAATAAACATCCTTTTTCTSAATATGCAAATTACCACAGGGAACCCGCAAATCATCAAAATGGCGAAAAAAGAAAAGCCTACATTTTTGTTAAAAATGATTTTTATGCGAAGATTTCTTTATTTTCCTTCTATTCTGCATCCGAAGATACCATTTGGCTAGTTTTTAGCTCGTGTCACTGCGTTTTAATAGGATTTCGGGAGATGCTCAAACGGTGACTTTTCACCTCACTTTACAAGCATTTTTCTCCTGTTTATAATACTTAAATCAAAAAAACAAAACCACCATGATAAACACTAGCTATCGCTCTATATACATGCCAAAAAGAATGATCTAAATCGGTCTAGTTGCGGAGAAATGACCCTAGTGGAAAAAAGGACGAAAAATAGCGTTTTTTTCGATTTTTCAAGTTGCCCCAAAAATTTCGAAATTTTCAAACTGCTTTGTTTTTAACAAAACTTGCATCGTTGGAAAGCTGAGTTCAAACGCGCAATGAATCTGCAGTTTGTTTTTCGAAAAAGGATAATATTAGGATGTTATTAGAGGTCAAAGTTGACACCTGTCAGTTTTGTCCAAATTTCGACATTTTGCTCGCCATTCCGCTTTTAAAATTGCTATCGATTAGAAACGTAGTGTAGACACTCTTTGTACACTAATAAAGGTAACCATAAAAAGAATTTTTCAAAAAGATCATTTCAAACTGGAGAAATTAGGCATGCAAATAACCGTGGTTATTCCANGAATGCATGAAATATGAACAGATGGAAGAAGGAATGGAAGAATGACAAAATGAATAAATAGCAGGAATAAATCAAGCAGTATATAATCAACTGAAAAAAATGGGTAAATCTTAGTAAATGGAAATAAACATCCTTTTTCTCAATATGCAAATTACCACAGGGAACCCGCAAATCATCAAAATGGCGAAAAAAGAAAAGCCTACATTTTTGTTAAAAATGATTTTTATGCGAAGATTTCTTTATTTTCCTTCTATTCTGCATCCGAAGATACCATTTGGCTAGTTTTTAGCTCGTGTCACTGCGTTTTAATAGGATTTCGGGAGATGCTCAAACGGTGACTTTTCACCTCACTTTACAAGCATTTTTCTCCTGTTTATAATACTTAAATCAAAAAAACAAAACCACCATGATAAACACTAGCTATCGCTCTATATACATGCCAAAAAGAATGATCTAAATCGGTCTAGTTGCGGAGAAATGACCCTAGTGGAAAAAAGGACGAAAAATAGCGTTTTTTTCGATTTTTCGAGTTGCCCCAAAAATTTCGAAATTTTCAAACTGCTGTTTTTAACAAAACTTACATCGTTGGAAAGCTGAGTTCAAACGCGCAATGAATCTGCAGTTTGTTTTTCGAAAAATTATAATATTAGGATGTTATTAGAGGTCAAAGTTGACACCTGTCATTTTTGTCCAAATTTCGACATTTTTGCTCGCCATTCCACTTTTAAAATTGCTATCGATTAGAAACTTAGTGTRAACACTCTTTKTAGACCAATAAAGGTAACCATAAAAAGAATTTTTCAAAAAGATCATTTCAAACTGGAGAAATTAGACATGCAAATAACCGTGGTTTTTCCCCTGGAGTTCACCACAGGGATCCCACAAATGACCAAAATGGCCAAAAACCAAAAGCTTGAATTTTTTTCAAAATTTTTTTGTGATTTTAAAATTTATATTGTTGGAAACCTTAGATGATTTTAAAAAAGTATATAAATAAAATATAAGATATCTATTTTTATTGCGATTTTATAAGCGAAAATAAGCTTTTTTCGTGGAACGCCTGGGACATTTATGATATGCAGATTACCACAGGGATCCCGCAAAAGCTTTAGAAGAAGTTTTCTTTTTCTTTCGAAATTGAATTGTCTCACAAACATTCTTAACCTTGCTTAAAAACATTTTAAAGATTGAGCAGATATAACTGTTGCTTGTTTTCATTTAAATATTTTGCATAAGTTATTGTCATGTATTGTGGAATCTCTTTCAAAGGAAATATGTTTTCAATAAAAGTATTTTTTTCATTCRTTCATTTGTTTGCTGGTGATTCATTCACCCCATCTTTTTATATTATTATTTTAATAATTAAAAGTAAATGATCTGCATTATTTGCAAGTATTCAAACAAATTCCTTTGAACTGCAATCGTTTTCTTGACTTTTCAATCATTGCTTGCCTTTATTTGCTAATTTTACTTTGATCTTACCTTTGTCCAGCGTTTATGGCCTYATTTTGCAATGTAAAACTTCCTTGCATTGTAGAGAACAATCGTATCAATATTACTTTCTTAGTGACCAGGCCTAAAGCATCGCCAAAGGAAGCCCAGACACATAGGTATCCCATAGAAAGGTGTCACTACTTACTATATTACAGCCCCATCCGAACCCCAACACCAGAAGAAGAAAAAATACACATCTTTGATCTATGGACAATTTATTACAAAATTCTATCAAATCTTCTATTTTTACTAATTATTCTTAATTATGCAATTAAGATGCTACAATGTCTTTAACGATTTGTGAGTTAATTGTAGACAGATTGTGATAGAGCTATTGCATTTAAAAACCCACTGATCACCCTGAATGCTTTGCGACCGTTTATTTTTGATTCAAAAGGAAGTGCTTGTTTCTGATTGGTGAAGTTTAGCCATATAATACATAATATATTATAAATATAATAATTTTTTGAAACACCAAATAATATCAGGTGCGTATTGAAGCATCAAGGGTGCAATACTGGGCCTTAAACTAATAGTAAAGGCAATATATCTAGGAAGCAGAATGTTATAGAACTATACACAAGAAAACAATAAAACTATATACTCTGTCTGACTATTAATCTAATTGCCATGTTTTCCGAGCACTCGCATCATCACTCAAATAAATATTTACAATGCTTGTTGTTCTGAGAGAATGCTCTCTGAGAATATCGATTTTCATCTATATCTATATCTACATGWAGCCATATTAAAATTTCTAGGGTCTCAGACTACAGCAATCTTCAAGACGCAGATTTCTGAAAAATGGGAAATAATAATATTGATCAAATCAAAGTTCTGAGACTGACTGGAAGAATAGCCTGACTGACAGCTTAACTGATTGAGTGACAGCTTAACTGACTAACTGATGAACAACTGACTGACAGCTTAACTGACTGACTGATGAACTGACTGACAGCTTAACTGACAGACTGATGACCTGACTGACAGCTTAACTGACAGACTGACGAACAACTGACTGACAGCTTAACTGACAGACTGATGAACAACTGACTGACAGCTTAACTGACAGACTGACGAACAACTGACTGACTGATGAACAGCTTAACTGACAGACTGATGACCTGACTGACAGCTTAACTGACAGACTGACGAACAACTGACTGACAGCTTAACTGACAGACTGATGAACAACTGACTGACAGCTTAACTGACAGACTGACGAACAACTGACT